GTGTGCTTATTTGGGCAACAGATTTATAGATTCTTTGCTTATTGTCAAACTTGGATATTGAATGGAGTTTTAATTGCTGTGTGCTTATTTGGGTAACAGATTTATAGATTCTTTGCTTATTGTCAAACTTGGATATTGAATGGAGTTTTAATTGCTGTGTGCTTATTTGGGTAACAGATTTATAGATTCTTTGCTTATTGTCAAACTTGGATATTGAATGGAGTTTTAATTGTTGTGTGCTTATTTGGGTTATGGATTTATAGATTCGTTGATTTTGGGAACTGTTGTTTGGCCAGCTGCTAAATTTAGATTATATTTACCTTTGGATAAGATTAATTATTTAGGGGACAGAAAATATGAATGGGCTAAGAAGAGCACAGATTTTTCTTCTAATAAATTTTAAACTAATATGACTAAGGTATAATTAATTTAAATAGTTTTTCTTTATAGTCTTTTGATTATAATTAGTGTGGAATAATTGATTGTCCTTTGTTGCTTGACAGTATGAAACAGGCTTTTATTTCAAGACTGAGCTTTTCGTTGTAAAGTTTTGATTATAGTAAGAGTGGATTGATCTGTTATTCTTCCTTGCTTGAAAGGGTGAAAGAAGCTTTTATTTCAGTACTATATCAAAACATTTTTACAATAAGCTCGAACATTTTAGATTTGACTTTTCTTTCAAGAAACAGAAAATATTTGTTACAAAAAATAGATACATGTGAAACCAGATAGTTTAACTTGCTTGTCTCTAACCACATTAGAAGAGCTGTTTCTGTGATTTTATTACTAGCATTAATTTATTTCCCATTTTTTAATTTGTTTGTTTACAATTTAATAAATATTCTGTAGGTGCTGTAGCCATAGCAGAATACATAGCTGAAAATAAACATATAACGAGAGTTGATCTCCGTGACAACAAGATTCAAGTAGGTGGCCTCATGGCTCTCTCATTGTCTTTAAAACACAACTGGAGCCTTACTCGTCTAGACCTAGACCAAGTCACTCAGCAGAACCATGTAAGTTAATCTCTTTATTTGTTTAATTCAGTAGACTTTTTATTGATTTATTGATCCTGCTGTGGCAAGGAGAGGGACAACCAAGACTTTCGTGCTCCGGTGACTGTTTTTTGGAATATGTTTCGTTTAAATTTTAAATAAATTAAAATGGTAACAAGTGACCTTAAATTGTATGTCTTTATTCATATACCTTATAAACCATAATTAAATTTTTTGCAATGAGTTTTTTTTTTTTACTTTCAGAATATTTTCAACCTTAAGATATATGGTAACAATTATTTTCTTTTAAACTGCAGATTCAATGGTAATAGTTTTATGCTTTGTTGTACTTGTGCATTTTTATTGCTAACTTTTAAAAACTGTACCACTATTGCCTTAACATTTTGATCAATGTCTTCTAACTGAAGATAAGTTTTTTCAAAGAACTGTTGGTCTTGAAATGTACATATAGCTTCTAGAAAGGACATGGACAAAAAATGAGGGATATAGCATATTTTAAACCCATTGTTTGGTTATCAGATAGATAATTTTCATTATGATGGATACAGCTAACTCATTCCTAGATAATTTTTAATCTTATCTACGTATTGTAGGAGATATATTTTTCTGTTAGCAGGCATCTACAAGAGCTATCAGTATCTTTTTACAGCAAAGCTATGATGCTACAATTGACCACTGCAAGCATCTGCAGGAGATTACTGGGTACTGCAAAAGAAACAAAGAGCAGAAGGAACTTCATGCATGGAATGCCATCAAGTCCAAACCAGAACTACCAGAAAATCTGCCAGTGAAGACCTCCCACCAGACCTCCTTACCGGATCCAGCAAGTGCTACCTGTAATGGCATTGCTCAGCAACCTTCTGCAATTACAGTGCAGCAGAGTGATGTGGGTGAACATGAGACTCAGGAAAATAATAGCAAAAAGTACTCTGCTAGTCATAAGTCAAGTTTATTAACAATGAGACTTTTGCAAAGCTCTCCCATTCCTGTTTTTAATAAAAGTAGATTTCGGGTCAGTCAAGTGTTTCTTGAGAAAGAAGGGGAAAAAACATCAGTGAAAGAATTAAGTTCTTCAGCACCTGCTGAAATATCTCCCCTGGCAGGGCAGACAGTTATCACAGATCTTAACATCTCAAAATTAGAAGACTTACACTCAATTAATGGTCTTTCCTTGTCCTTGCCAATTTCCGTGGCAGAAGTTATAGAGAATGATTATAATACTCCAAAACAAACCAAGCCTACTGCTTTTCCACTTCAAAAAAGTATTGCTCAGAATTGTTCAGTGTTAGATCAAGTTACTGTAAGTGAAATGCCTTCTACACTATCAGTTCCTCAAGACTCTGGAAGTGTGGATATTTCACAGTGTGCAACAGGTGCTTCCGGATGTGTATCAGGACAGTGTTGTCAAGGTTCTACTACACATTTGATTGAAGTATGTGAATCTTCATCGGTAGAAAGTGCTTCTGACAATGCTTCAGTTTCAAAAAATACTATATTACTAGAGACTGTCAAAACAAGGGAAGCTAGTGGTTGTTCACCATCTTCTAACAAGGTTCCAGAAGATGAAAGGGTTCCTGCCAGAGAAAAAGAGACAGTTATGCTTCCATGTCAACCAGAAGTTACAGAAAGTAAAAGAACTGTTAACATTTTCCAAGAATGTAGTCAGTCTGTTCTAAAAGGCTCTAATGGTGAGAGAAATGATCTTATAATGCTCGGATTTATGGGTAAAGAAGCAAAGAATCCAAACATTTCCCCTCCTGATTCGACTAATGACGTACGCTACCTACGGATGCTACATCGCAGACTCAGTTCTCCTGTAGTGTCTTCAACTTCACCATCTGCGTACAAGCCTCCAGCGTTGAACCTAAAGCTCTGTAAACGTCTCGATTGTTTGGACCTACGTAGCTCAGTTCCTCTTTCACCTACACGGCTTATGGAAGGAATAGGTAAGTGTTCGCGTTGTCACCTAGATGTAAAGTTGGAAAATATCAACAGTGTATAATTGAAAACAAACCAGTAAGATGGTTCCATGTGTGGCTGATACCCAACCAAAACTTTATTTTGACTAATACTAGTTACAACTTGTTCGGTTGTAAAAAAAACTAGCTACTTTATGGAGTCTGTAAGTAACAGGATTATTTAATTAACAGGAAGTTTCCCTGTCTTTGAAAATAAAAGTTAAATTTGTAGACTCTATAAATTTGTTCATGTACAAAAATTTACTGATTTGACTTTTTAATATTCTTTTCATGGAATTTTTTTTCCAATATTGTAGCATTCCCAGATCCACCACTGACAATGAAATAGAAGAAAAGATTCATAACATCTGCAGGTGAAATAGTTTAGAAATTGATGTGTGAGAATATCAACTCCTTCCTTCCTGGTACTGATAGTATAAGTAGTTGTTCACATTGATGTACAGTATTAATATTGTTGTTTCATGTTGTTCAGGATCTTTAAAATTGTTAATCAGTGAGAATTATGATAATTTGTTAACTTCATAATAATGTCTTCAGTCTTGAAGTAGGATGTTCAAATGTGAAGAGGCTTTAAAACTGGTGATTTATACTTAAAAACATCCTCTAACAGTCTTTCCCTGTTCTGAAGTAGATTTTCTCGCACAATTTCCTCGTAAAGTTTAAAAACAAAACAATAAATGTATGTTGGAGTTAAAAGACAACATCAAAACATTCATACAGGTGTCTGCCAACTGGCCATCTCTCATATAATTCAAAGCATCTGTATAATTTTTACTGTAAAAAATTTAGATCCAGCATGAGTTTACTAAGCTTCCAGGTGTGGTAGGTAATGAACTGAAAGTGTATGCATGTTAAGTATTTCTGTATATTTGAGTATTATGTGATAGATCCTCTGAGTGGTTGAAGCGGAAGCTGTTTTTGTTTTGATTTTAAAGCAGTGAGAGTTTTTCTTGGTGACATTTTTGATGTATATGTTTTGAATTTGAGTAAGTCACAGAGTAAATGATACAATTTATTAAAAAAATTGTTTGTAATATGGTGGGATATTGTTAAAAAAACCAGTGTTCTGTTCTGAACTGATGTTTTTAATTGTCTAAAGTGATTAGGTCTTAGATTCCTTTTACTAAATGTAATGTTAAAGAAAAAGTTCTTTCTGAAAAATGAATATACTGTGATTTTTTGTTATTACTACTACGATACTTTTCTGTTAGAGTAAGGATTGTAGTCTGAGAGAGCCATATCTTTATTTGCGATATTCTATGATGAACATATTTTTTGATTATTCTAGTATTATTTAGGAATCAAAAAATTAAAACTTTGAACTTCATCCTCTTTAATGACTATACAAAATTTTTATTTTAAATTTATATATTTTAATTCCATTTCTCTTACCAATTTACTTGGTTCTGTTACTTACATGTCAAATCACTTATAATTTGCTGGTTGGTGTTTCCTTGCAAGTCTTTTTCTAATGCTGGTAGAAACTACTGTCATGAGATGTAGAATTTTATAAACCAGTTAAACCGTATTGGTTCTGTTGCTGGAAGTGTTTCCCGATGAAGAATACCAGTCATAATTTCTTTTACGAGCTCATCATCAGTTTTCTCAGTGCTCGTTAACATAAAAACAACCTTATGACTTTTCTCAAGTACCATTTTAACTGTGTTCATTTGTATACCTTCTTTTGAAAAGTAAAAGTCAGTCACAAAAAACAATCTTTGAGAAATGTGTAATTTTCTGGAAATTTTTATAGGTATACATTAAAGCATCTTCATTGGCTGGAATAGCCTTTCTTAAAAGTTAGTTGCTGTCTTCACTTGATTAGTACATATTGTCTTTTTTTTTACTTATTCCAATGTGAGAATTCCCACAAATCATTCAGTTTTTTAAGTTAACTTTCAAAGTAACTGAGTGCAGTTAAGTGAAGTATAATAATTATCTTTGAAAGTATTTCATCCAACAAAAAATTAACCAAAACTTACTCCGAGTAACAAGTTCTTGATCACAGTGTATAGACGTAGCTCTCTTTCAACAAATCCTGGATAAAAATGTATTTCACTTCAATGTGCTTTTATTTTATAATATGCCATCAAAGATTATCAGAACTTTGATCTCTGGTAATATCCATGGTAGGTAGTTCAAGAAAATGTTCAACAGGTAGCTATGAAACTCAGTGAAAGAAATCAATTATTTTTATGTTTCTATACAAACGTGTCATCTTATGAAATATGTGGATAAAATTACTGATATTTATACAAAACACCAGGGATATCACTTATTTTGGGCACAAACAATACTGTGTGTGAACATATATGTATATAATGTTTGTGCTATTTGAATAGTTATTAAATAACATGGAACATAATCAGAAAAAATGCTCCTAAAACAGACTTATTTGTACATTTTTACCTTTAAAAAAACCCAAGTCTGTCCAGGGGTTCATCTCTAATCAAAGTAACCCTTCCCCCATAATGAAATCTGAAATGGTGCTCCTGCAAGACACAAATCTGGTTAGCATCTTATGGAATATTATTATTATTTTTAATGGTTCATAAAATCTACTTGAAAACATTTGTGATGTTATTAATAATAAGGTTTAGAAAACCAAGGTGCTTTTATTCTTAGCCTCTTAAGGTTTGTGAAGTTGAGATGCAAATACAGGTCAACTTTTATCTTATCTATGGTTCTCTCAAAGTAGCTCTTTTTTTTTTGTTGTTGGAGTGGGGGTGGGGTACAGAAAAAATATGAATTCAAAGTTATTGTATTTTTTTTTCCCCTCAACCAAAAACTACAAATGCTCAATATTTTTTATTGAAACAAATTAAAATGCTGTACAATGAGTTAAACCTGGAACAATGATGTCTCTTTTACAAGCATGCTGAGTGCCATCTGGTCGGAGTTAAGATTCTACATGAAAATGTGTATATATGTTTACCTGTATTTTGATACAACATTTTCTTGCAAATAATTGAATATTCAGACTCACTGACAACATTCTTCTTAGGACAGTGAAGGAAATGATTTATTTTTTTGTTCTAATTCATTATTTCCAGTATGATAGTTTGGCTCTCCAGTGGCACAGCAGTATGTCTTCGGACTTGCAACGCTAGAAACTGGGTTTCGATACCCATGTTGGGCAGAGCACAGATAGTCCATTGTGTAGCTTTGTGCATAACTTCAAACAATATGATAGTTTGATTTTACAAAAAAATAAATAAGCTTTTTAGTGAAATCATGTAATTTTAAATCTTTGAAACCATCTCTTTATTGTAGTGCTTTATACAGCAGATACTGGAAGCCACTGCCAAACTTGATTAAGGATTGGGAAAACCATCAGTCAAGTTTTTTAAATTTTATATCTCGAAACAGGATCATCAAATGTTATTCATATTATCTTTGACATTGTTATCGTTAACTTCTGAATAAAAATGAGTTCAGTAATGTTGTGAATATCAAAATAAATGAAACTTTAAGGTAGACATCCTCAAATGCAACATTAGTTAAGAAACTATATGAATGTAGGTCAAAGTTGGTTACAAAGGTGTAGTTTAAAGGATTCAATTCAGTTTAAATATAATAATCGGGGTTTCTGATTTTCTGTTTTAACCCATGTTACAAAAAAAAAATTAAACTGGTGTATATTAAATAAATACTGGAAATGTTTACTCAGTACACATAACTTCACCCCCTTTGTCAGTGCAGTTAGTTATGGAATGTCCCTCCTTCCTGACTTGTATCCAGTATTGATTCGTTCTGAATTTTTTAAACGCACCCCAACTACTGTGGGGTAGCAAAGGTTAAATAACATGAAAGTAATTCTTATAGATATAATAAGGCATATAATACAAATTAAAGTAGAACTTGTGCAGAAAAATATTTTGAGAAAAACAAAATCTCGTATATATATAAAAATGAAAGTCCTGAAAAAAATCACTTCAGGCAATCTCTTTAAAACTGGAAAATAGCTAAAACTAAACACCAAAACAGACATTCTCTTTATAATGTAAACCATTTAGAATTAAACAATAACAAAGAATGAGTAGATGTCATTATGTTTTCCAGTAGGTGATGTTGTTGGCCATAACTCTAGTGGTGCCTCATAAGGTCTGATGTTAACCTTCAACATGTGGTACGTTAGATCTAAATTGAAACACCAAGCACTAATGCTTCAAGTATTAACAGCATATTTTTCACCTTTAAACAGTGTTTTAACAACATGAATATGATACTTCATAAAAAATGTGTTCAGTAACCATAAGTATATATGATTAGTTACTTAGAGAAGACACTAATTTGGAATGTTTAACATGGAGTGTTACTATAAATATTTACATTCCATTTATCAGTACACTGTATGTGTATTAAGATTATAAGTAGTTTTATTTAAATTTGGAATGTTTAACATGGAGTGTTACTATAAATATTTACATTCCATTTATCAGTACACTGTATGTGTATTAAGATTATAAGTAGTTTTATTTAAATTTTTCTATAAATTGAGAGAAATTTCCTGGACAATTTAATGAGAACTGATTGAAGCTATTTTCTGTGTGCTGTGCATCTAGTATTCATGTGAACAATTTTAACGTTTAATTCATGATATACACTCAAGTATTTTTCTGTAAATTATTGTTTTTAGATTCAGGTGACATTTGGCTTTTTATTTGATCATTTCTTAAAACAATTTTAGATAAAACTAATGAGATTTATAAAATAATTATTAATTTTGAAAAAAATTTTACACAAGAGTATGAATAGCACTAGCATTTATGTAACTTTGATGTGTTTTCAACAAAACATTATCTCAAATAGACATAAAACTAGGCCATTAAACGACAAGTGATACAAAGGTTGTTCATACCATGAATTTCTTAAGTCTATTTTAATTGGTTATAGTTTACTGTATATTTTAATTGACTGGGATTTCACTAAACTTGTAAAAATGTGTGGAAGTGATTTTTTGGTGACATTTGTGGTGCAACATCAACAGTGCATATTTCAAACAGCTGTAATGAAGGATTTTGAAAAATATTGGTGATGCATGAATTTTACATCACTCTGTGTTTCTACATGTACTGATTTAAAATCATAATGGACTGACCAAAAGAGTGAAATAAAATAAATGAGTATCTAATGTGATGCTTTAACACGTTTCATTTTATACATTTTTTGCTTCTTCACTTGCTTTAGCATTTAACATTAACATTAGACTTGCACAAGAGTTGTTCAAAAATTACTCTGTTGTAATCTTAAGTAAAACTCATTTCTGTAGTTTTTGACTTGGACAAGATAGAGATGCACAGTTGTACAAGTTAATAGATTATAATGTATTTCGATGTTTGATGAGAAAACTTCTGAGTAGTGGCTTCTTTTTTCATGTTTTACACTTACCGTAACTCCTACCTTCTTTAATTTTACTCCTTGAGAAATATATGGGAGTAATTTCTTCTGAAGCAACACTGAATATCAAGAATTCTTGGAGACCTTGCTAAGATCTCAGTTTAAAGTTTTAATAGTTAAATACCAGTTTTATTTAATTATTGGTTGCCTCCAACATGATATTTTACTCCAGCATTAAAACTGATTTTTTAACATGCTTTAATTAGAGAGGTAAGAAAAAGGAAGAATAAGAGTGCATTCCATTAAGTTTTCTTACAGGGTAGATTAGTTAGTTGTATATGTTGGTTTTTGTGTATGTCTGTCTGAGTATTCAGGTTTGTGCTACATGTAACATCTGAGCTGTTAATGTGGTAAAAATGGAGGTTTGTTCTTGTTGAGTTAAAGCTATCTTACTGTCATTGGTACAGTAGAAAGACAGTTACAGTTGTATGAGTGTATATTTTGTACTAGTTAAAACATTGATTAATACTGAAGTGTGAATGAAATTTAGAGTAAAATCGAGAAAATTTTAGAATTATGTGTTTGTTATTATATTGGCGTTCCTAGCCGTAGAAATGAAAGTTTACTATGTAAGTAGTTTTGATATAGTGTAAACCTCCTGTGTGTTTTGATCATAGTTTTTCTCACTTTTTTAAAAGCTTATCTTTGGTGAAAACAAGGAGATATTGCAGAGGATTTATTGCCTATTTTTTATGATGTATCTACATGAATATATTTGTTTTGCTATCCAATTATTTTAAGAAGAATGAGTGGTTAGACTGGCTGTCAGGTAAGAAGTGTACATCTATCACAAAAAGTTGTTCAGTAAATTAAATTGATTACAGAATAGGTAGTGTGAAACTACACCATCATGATTTGATCGGTACGATGTTCATTACAGTCAACTACTGACTAAAACGTATCTACAAGGGTTGAACTCCCATAACTTGACACAGGCACACACACAGGTTTCAACGTAATGCCATTACATCCTATCAGGTTTGTTATTACATAAAAGGTAAAACAGTATATCAATATTTAATGTTTATATAGTAGTTGCAAATTAAAGAGGAATGTGTTTTATTAAACAAAGTATTTTTGCAAAGCAACAGAAAAAGTTGAGAAGTCCTGAAAGTGTTAGAATTTAGTGGTGATGTAAAATGATTGTTGTGTTCTTGATACTTTGCTCAATCTTGTGTTATTGTGAGGATTCTTTGTCATCATTTTCTTCTGTTAACTATTACCTTATATGCATCTCTAAAACAGGCTAATATGCTTGATTTCCTTTCTGACAGAGAATTGCAACTAGGAGATCTAAATATTGTAACATGTAAAGCCACTTATTATTTCAACTACCTTGTACTTGGCTCCATCTAAAGCATTTTGTGGGAAACTAATTCATCTTATTAACCTTGATAAACCCCAAGTTTGTGACTTGTTTTTGTACCTACAGTATGAGAACAAAGCACAAACCTAGGAATTTGGGCCATACTCAGCACTTTGAGCTCAACGTGAAATTAGCATGGCCTGAAGTAACTACAAAAACAACCTAAAAGAGAGCCAACTGCAGATTACAAGTTATTTTATGTAACTGCCAGATCGATTTGTAATTCAAACTTCTTAAAACGACTGGGTTGTGATTTTGTTGAAAATCATGGCAAGTTATGTTTTTGTACGTGTAATATAATTATTGCGTTATGGCCTCGATGATGCTGGTTTTTGCACACATCTTGCTGATAGCTTTTTTCTGGACATTGTTGTAAATGTATGAGAGGCCTAGTATGTATGATTCAAGAGAAAAAATAGCTTCCAAACACAGCTTTCTGCACGTTGTGAGCATATGTTTATATAACTTAATTAAAAAATACAAGCTACGTATTGTCATCTATTTAAATAGCCAATTGAACATGTTAATTTTGTTGTGTTACCTCTTGCATCCAAGAGTTTCCCAGGTGAACTTTCTTACCCCAGTAAGTAAGCGGAAAACACTAATAAAGACATGTACAGCTTTAAGATATTAAAGGAAACAGAAGATTAAGTACTGGTACTTTAAAGCATGTCGAATCACCATGATAAAGCTAAAGGTGTAGTATTTCCTGACATGAATTTGACATTAGGCTTAGATATCATGCTGAATACTCGTGTCATTGATCTCAAACGCATCGTCATAGTTAGAAATATTGTTTTAACAAGAAACTTAATGTCTCAGAAGGTCAGTTCAGTTACGGATGTTTTTCTCGGTGACATTAGTCTTAGGAGTGTTCACCAACCCTTTTAACTGTAAAAGACAAACAGATCTTCCTGTTGTTGTGGGACGTACTCCTTCGTCATTCCTGTTGTTGTGGAAAGATGTAACCTACTTTTGTCTTTCGAACTGTGATATTAAAATAGCTTGTAAATTGTGCCCTTGGGGTACAGAAAGCTATTTATTCCCAGATTATCACACATCCATTGTTAATACAAGAAACTTAAACTAGCTGTAGCTTCATGTATATTTGTGTGTGTGTGTGTACCTGCATACGTACCTTATTCTTACACAGTAAGCTGTCTGCTTTTTCCTGTTTGTTTTTGTTTGCTAGAATTTGCTTGTTGCACAAGCAGGACTTTGTATTATCGTACCCTAAACTGAACCGATATTCTCTTTCAAAACACTCATCCACGTCACATCTGATCAAATAACGTATTTCCTTATTTGTAACTCTTCAAACCCAAGTGTAAAGCTGGGCTCTAAGCTCTTGAACCTGTAATGTTAGCACAGTTTTCGTTAAGATGGCTTTCTCATACTAGATACTCCGCTCTTCCATCCTCCTTTTTTTTTGTAAATAGAATATTCATCTTGTACTTTCACATACAAGTAATTAGTAAGTTAAATATAAGAAATTTAAATTAACGTTGCTGGTTACTGAGTATATAGACGGAAAGTTTACAAGTGGTGATCTTGTGAACAGTATGGTTTATTCAAATACCCGGCAATTTTGCGTGTGAAAAAAATCGTTCTCGTATGCTAAACGGACGTTGCCATTAGAACTAACTAGTTCAAGTTTTTGTAATACGCGCGCACACACACACACACACACACACACACACACACATATATATATATATATATATATACACCTGTCTGCTTAACTTTGATATCTTGTCTTCAACTCATAACAGTACCCGTATCCAAGACATTCCAATAAGACTAATTCGTCAAATTAGTTAGGTTTGTAAGATATTTCACTAAGCCTTTTTCTTCGTAGTCATGTATAAAATCGTATTCTGTTAAATAACTCATAATTTTTGTATGTATTATAGTTTCTCTGTTTCTAGGAGATGTCACATTTGTATCACGTGACACAAAGCTCACAAACATCTGCCAAGATATTGTTGTAATAATGTTTTTTGTTGTAAAAATACATTGTTTTACTTCTCGACAGCAGATTAGACACTGCCTGTCTTCCGAAAACGGGCAATGTCTATGTATACGAGTGTGTGAGAATTTTCGTAAGAAAATTTCATCTTATGTGGGAGATGCGACAGCTTGGGGTTATGCCTGAGGTCAACACTAGGGGGCTTCTAAACTATTTGTGAATGGAGGTGTTATCGATTGTACATATGAAAAATAATAGTAACAAACCCGAGATCGCCTCGCGTTAATTATTATTATTTTTTCAGCCTTATAAGAGGCTATGCATTAACTTATAATCGAATATCCAGAGCAATGATTCGACTATAATTTGTGTTGACGTCTTTAGGTACCTCGGTCCATCTTAATGATTCCTCAGATAATTACTTTTAGAACT